TTCTCCCTTCGTGCCGTCCTGTGCTGTGTTCCTTCCCCCTCTGCCGCCTGTCAGAAGGGATGTGGAATGCTGCAGAGGGGAAATGTAGTGTGAAGTGTGTGCTGACAGAGGGGGAAAGAAGCACAGCAGGAGTGAAACTATGTTGTGTGTATGTGTGTCCGTGTATTGTGCATATTTGCACGAGTGTTTGTGAAGCACAATTCCTATAGCATAGTTTAAATGTTTTGGCTAAGATGAGAAGCAATTCTTTGGCAGTTTTTTGGTCTTTTGATCAAAAATGTGATTGCTGTCTTGCAACATATGTAGATATTATTTCAATCTACAGCATCAGAGATGAAAGTAAACCTTGAATAAAACTTTTTGGACTCGATATGCTTTGTATGACATGATAGGCTTAGGCTATTTTAAAGGAATACTTGGGAAATATGCACTTTCTTAAGACTGTACGGTAAATATGAAGCTGCAGCCAGGAAATGTGTTAGAGAAAGTTAGCTTAACTTTGCATAAAGATTGGCTACACAAGAGCTAGCCTGGCTCTGTTCAAAGGTAAAAACACTGTAACTGTCTACCACAACCACTAAAGCTCACTAATTAACACATAACACAAATGTATAAACAACTCATTTTTTTTGGACAGAGCCAGACTAACTGTTTTAAGTCTTTGTTTTAAGCTAAGCTAACTGTCAGCTGGCTGTAATCACTAAGGCTTTAACATCAGAGTAAAAATATGAGGGAAACACTGAAACATTACATTTTTTATTGTTTTTTGTCTGAGTAGTAACATTTGTCAAAAATAAAACTATTCTGGGTGAACACGAACACGATCATATCATAGTGATACAATTTCACTGAAAGCTGATAATATCAAACCCTAAATAGCTACACAAAAATGTCCTGCTAAACCAGATCCTCCTATCTCCTGCCTCAAGCCATGATAGACATTACAATAACATAATTTAGTATTTTTGTGCTACTCCCTGAAAAACACCTGGATACAGTAACTACAATAATGTTATTCTTGGGCCCAGGTGCAGACAGGTGGCAAAATGGGCGGATGTTATTGTGGACTACAACACAGCAGATCCTCTAATCCGCTGGGACTCCTACCAGAACATCTGTGATGGTGAAGGTACTGTTACTATGCTGCATTAGTCATTACATGACTCGCAAGAAGACTTTGTTGTAATAGTGCCAGTAAATATCAGTGGTTCATTTATGAATGGGAGAAGTATGCATAGGGTGTTATTTGGGCATTCAATGAAGTTTTACCTCCCTGTTTTTTTTTTTTTTTTGTTTTTTTTTTGGTATTACTTTTCAGGTATTAAGTGGGTGCTCTCTGTTTCTCACTTACACACAGACACAAACTCTCTTTTGCTCTCAGGGAATGAACACAGCCTGACAGATCTTGTGCTCCACGTTACTGAGGGACTGCAGTGTGATTGCATTAACATGCGCACACAGTCACCACTAGCTTGGTTTATGTTTCAGTCGTTGCCAAGGGGAGTTATTACTCATGAGGTGGACAGGCTCTGTGGAAACAAGACTTCTGTTATTGCAAAAGCTAAAATGTAACTGTTGCAGTATGTTGGGCTCGACAAACAGTGTTGTTTTGGTGTGAAGGAGAGGGAGGATAGTTGTTGTATGTAGGGAATGCTGGGTTCAGAGGAAGAGCAGTTAGTTCTCAAGAGATTTCTATTTTGTTGTTTCATCAAATGAATAGCTTTAACCATCCCACACATGCAGACTCACACACACACACACACATAATCATACACACATAGACACACTCAGAGCCACCCTGGCGGGGCGTCCCGTCCTAGCTGCGGTTGTTGCTCTCCACTCAACCGCAGAATTCACAACAACCTCCCAGAATAGAGCGACGTGGTGGTAGCATTAAAACACAGATCCACCCTTTCCCAGTATTCATAGAGTGTTTTTAAGCTAAGTTCAGCTTGATGAAAATGAGCTGCCTTTTTTTTTCATTTAAAATACCCCAACATGTCCACATAAAGTGTTTTGCACACCTCTGAAAATGCAATGAAAGAGCGAAACACTCAAATTTAAGAATTCATCAAAGCAAAGCAAAGACATCAACAAAGGAGCAATTTTTTCTCTTGCCTTGATTCCAAAGCATTCATGTGGGATATTTACAGCTTTGCTTTCTCATGTAAACACTACATCTGAGAGGGAAGACTGGGAGCTTTGTTGGAATTCTACATCTACTCACCACCAGTCCTCTGGCAGGCCAAGTTTGCATCTGAGAGGCTGTCACTCAGAGGTTGGTCAGGAGGAGGAAGTCTAAAAACGTTTGGCACTGTAGTGCCAATGCTGTGAAAAGAAAATCTCATTTACTTCAATGGTTTTTCTTCAATCTACGCTGAGACTGTGTGTTTATCCCCACCTTGTGAATTAAGAGTTGAATTTTAAAAGATTGTTTTTCCAGAAAGGTTACTTAAGTTTCCTGTCAAAGTAGGCTATTGTCTTTATGTAGAACATAACTTGATTGTAGAAATGAATAGTTGATAGTAAATATTAATGTGAGAAATGCTGAATGGTTATTACTGATGTAAAAATAAAATGCGGTTGTAACAAGGTTATGTCTCAGATATCACTTTGTAGCCTAATTATATATCTCTCTCTATATAATTATATATAATACATAATAAGAGTCATTTCACCCAATTACAAAAAATATATATTTTCTGCTTACCTTGAGCGGTATATAGCCATGCAAATAGTTCTGTGATATCTGTTTCTCAGATTTCCTCTGCCACCCCAATACAGTGTAGGTGAATGGAATTTGGTTTGTGGGGCTCACAGCACTGAAAAATTCAACAGCTACATCTCTTTCTAGAAAAGGTGTTCTTAATACTCTGAATAATCCTCAGACCATGCTATCAACAGTTTTCATAGTGTCTATTTCTATGGCAGAATGTAGTTCCAATAAAAACTGTTAACTGCAACATCAAAAATTGCAATTATACAATACAAAACTCCAAAAAAGACCATATTCCAACTGAGAAAGGCTGGTGTAACATATAGGAAGACCAGACAAAGACCACCAATTCGTCATCCTAGTGAGAATTCTACTAGAAGAACATAAGTTGATGTTTTGGGACGCTAAAGCTGAAATCTCTAAAAAGGGTCTCTCAGGGACAAAAACAATGAAGGGCACAGTGTGGTTAAAAAAATGGCTCAGATGGATATATCTGTAAAATACTTAAGACTTATAGCAAGACAGACATTACATGGACATGGCTGTATGCAAAACCTCTAATGAAGGATCACTGGACAGCAGTTGTCAAAAATAAACTGTATTGAACAACTGTAACCTTTAGACTATAATATGATTGTGTGTGCGAGCGCTGTAACCCTGTTCCAGGACAAGTATTGTGTCACCAATGGCAAACCACACACTGAAAATAGCTATAAAAAACATTGCAAAGAAGTATCAAAGTTGCAAAAAGAGATAACTATTCACAGTTCAGTTTTCAATGTTTTTAGCAGCACTAAAATTGTATTCACCCTCATGATACTAGGTAGAGGCATAATTCTCTGTGATTTCCTGAACTTATACACAAATAAAACTTGTCTGCATGGCAATATACCACCAATTTAACTCTCTTTCATAAAGGAGTTTCCTTCAATAGTTTTTTCCCTTTTTTTTCCTTTATATACACTGTCCTGTACAAACTGTTCACAGTATTTTAAGAGACACTATTCCACTCGCCCCCCTCCTACACACCTGTCTCATAAAATAGATATACATAGTGTTCTAAGTCTGTTCTAAAAGACACATTTCCCAAAGGGTTGTTGTCTATGCATCTGAGGCACATGTAGATGCTTGGGCGGAAGAAAATGAGGGTGACGATGATCATCATTATGCTTTTCGCATTCAGGAGGTGCGGGATGGTAGTAACTGAGATGGAATGGGAAGGTTGGGTAATTGCATAGCCATACACAACCAGACCTCCTTCTGCGCTATGAGAGCAGCTTGAGGAATAGCTCTGGTTTTTGCCGCTCTCTGCACTGTAATTGGTGGATTATTCAGGGACTGACCATACCACAACAACCAACATGATGAATGCTAGATATAAAAGTTTGACTGATTTTCTTAAGCTAAGAACACACTTGGTTAACCATTCATGGGTTTGTTGATGTCAGTGTTATCCCAATAGTAAAACAGTTTTTAAAACAATTGTTGAACCCCATAATTGAGTTTAGGGCACATCTGTTTCTTGCCGATCTTGTACATGAGGACGGCAGGCATGCAATTTCATGACACACAAAAGTGTGAAAAAAAACAACAACTCTGCTGCTGCTTTTCATGAAATTGCCCAGAGCTCCAAGTAGAAGGCAAGGATTGCTTTAATTAAAAGTGTCTTTTTACAGAGTGAAAAAGTCCGGAGCTGCAGGAATGTTGTTTTCATTCTCTGATCCTCTCTGGGCCGCCCTTTCTTTTTCTTTCCCTCTTTTTCCTCCCTTCTCTCCCCAGTGGGGTAGTCCCCTAATGCAGGGCAAGAGTTCGGGTTACTGTGTTCCTCCATCCCGCCTCCACCCCTAGGCCCCGCCCCACTTGTTTACATTCCTCTGCCCTTATTTGGAGATCTCAAGGTCCCCCCCCCCCACCCCCTTGTGTGGAGTGCAAACACTCTAACCTTCTCAGCAGAGAAAGGAAGCAGGGCCAACTTATTTTAAGTCTCTTGATTTGACCCTGACCATTATCTACTGGTTGAAAGCCATGTCCGCTCTCGTGTGTCTGCATTGCCTCCTCTCCTCCACAAGTTTGGTTTTACCGGAGACTATGATTGTCTTGTGTGCTTACCTGGCAGTAGCAGTGAAGGTAAGGGATTTTTTCTTTCTGTGGAGACAGATGAGTGGCCATGAGGGGGAGGGAAAAGAAAAGAGATGCAGGGCGATGACAGGGGTGATAGGGAAAGATGGCCAATGTTGAGGGAAAGGGGAAGTGTCAGTCTCTAAACCTGCTTGCACCTCGCTCGAAGGAATGTTACGAGAGGGATTTGTTGAAAACTCCCGGTGGAACTGACCTGCACGGAGGCCTGAGCTGAGGCTGCTCAAGGCCTTATGCAGGTTCAAGTGGTGTTGGGGTATGCAAGCCATACGTATAGGAGCTTTTGGAGAGGAGGAGGGGGAGCTTTTATCTTGCGTGTCTGGCATTCAGAACCTCCACTCATAGTTTGACTGAAAGGCAAGTACTTAAGGCGGCAGACTGAGGGAAAAGCATAGGAGTCATGTTGCCACTCTGTTTTGTCGAGGGAGAGGGAGAGTGACAGAAATGGCAAGTTTTACTTACTTGGCAACGCAGCTCACTTCTTTTCCTAACTCATTTTGTGTAAGTCTAGAAAGGCTTAACTTGAATTGTGGTGTTCACTCCTGCGATGGATTTGACCCTGCCGTGCAAAGTGACTGACTTCTGTGATTTCTTTTACTTCTCAGGATTAAGGGGGTTGTTTGGACATATGCTGGGGGTCACGGGGCAGGCAAGAGGGAGCAGGGTGGCTTAATCACAGCAGGGTGAGGAATGCAGGGGTCAGACGCTGAAGATCCAGAAGACTCTTATATCTCTTATATAACCTTAGCACGAGGGAACACCTTTGTCTGCTGCACACGCTGCATACACTAGCACCATGGCAGTTCACTTGGTGGCCTGGTGGGAGTTTAATAATTGTTTCTTTTCATGGCAAGATTAGAGGAATATTTGCTTGAAAAAAACTCTGATTAGAATATCATCAAGTGGGATTTGAATCATTTGGGGGATTCTGCTAAGTATCTTCTATGGGTTTATTTTCCGACACATCTAATTGGGTGATTTATCCCACTTCAGTAACATTATTCGCATGCTTTTCCCTGTCATTGTGTTAATTTGCTAGTTATGTGCAGCGTGATGTTTCATCTGTATTGTCTAGAATATTGTCTTTGTCAGGTGAGGGGTGGTTGCAAGTGTTGAGCTTAGTCAACAACTGATTCTGAGTGATGGAGTTTATGGGATGACGTGACATGTGCATGCTGACAGAGACTTGTTTTGTCTGTGGCTTTGTGCCATTTGTGTTCGTCTGCGTGAGTCTCTGCTGTCTGTGTGTCTCTGTGTGTACGTATGCCCAAACCAGCTGACTGTATGAAGCGCTGCATTTCTTCTATTTTGCAGCGCCACGCTCTCAAGGCCTAACCCAGGACAAAGCGGCTAACAAGAGGAGCCCCAACGGAGGAGAGGCCACACTGGGCAGAGGGGCCCGTACAACCTCCGCCACCTCCAGCCCTGACCACAGCGACCACGCCCTCTCTGTCAGCAGTGATTCTGGCCTGTCTAGCACTTCTCTGTGGGCAGACCGACCCACACCTGTCACCGCCACCGCTACCGCCAACGCCATCACCTCCACCATCAAACCTAACCAGGGCCCCAGCCAGCAGGAAAAGGTCCAGCTGAAGCGCCTTTTAAGTGGCTTTGGTGTTGAGGACCCCTCACTGGAGGAGATGGATGATCAAGGCCCTAGAGTGAGCTTCCAGCAGATAGTCCCAGCGCAAGTGCACATCAACGGAGACCCCAGACCCCGAGAGAGAGAAACGGACATCCTGGATGATGAGGTGATCACAGGTCATGATCTGCACAGTGTGGACAGCTTAGGGACCTTATCGTCCTCCTGTCACAAGAGCAGCCAGAACTCCCTCCTGTCAGATGGTTTTGGGAGTCCAGGAGGAGAGGAGCAGCAAAACCAAAGCCAGCACCACCTCCACCACCCTGCACCCCCTCCCATGGAGGAGTATGAGAGGGCCTATGCTGAGACTAGGAGAGGCTGTCTGAGCTCCAGGAGCAACTCTGTGGCCACCTCTAATCCAAGCAGTGCTACCATGCCCAAGCAGCATGTCTACAGACAGGGAAGCTACTCCACACAGTCCTGGGTTCGCCAGCAGCAGATGGTTGCCGCACAACAGTTTCTCTACATGCCAGAGGACGGAAACGATACAGAAAGATACCCTGTGAACAAGCAAGGGAGCAGTTCACCTAAAGCAGGCCTTTCCACAGAACCACAGGGCCCTACTAGGGATGTGACGACAGATGCTCTGAGAAGCGCGGCACCACACACGGAGCAGGCAACTATAAACAATAACAACAACAACAAACGCGATGAGGAGTTCAAATCTCTAACGTTGGACATTGACAACTCCATTGACCAGCTCAACCAGCTGATCATGGACCTGGATCCCACATTTGTGCCGGTACCAAGCCATTGCAGCTCCATCAAGAGGAACGGAGGGGCGCACGTGAACGGCTCAGTCTCCAAATGCTCAAACGACATCAATCTCAGATTCAACGATAATAACACAGCAACCCTGAAAAACACACAGCAGACAGGTAAGATAGTCAGACAGTATGGGTGTGGTGGTGATGGTGTGGTGTGGTCTGGGCGTGTGGTCGTGAAAAGAAATGTGTGACAGTCATTATGAAGCCAGTGAAATTTAGCTAAAAATGTGTAATAAACGGAAAATATCGAAGTAATAAAACAACTTTAATGAATATGATAGGAACATTTTAAAACGTCTTTTCTGTCCAGCAGCATCAGCCTTTCTCCTCCTTCACCACTGTTAAGTTAACTTAACAAAGCGCACCTTCTTTCCCTCCCACCTGGCGTGTTTTAGCAGCAGAAATAGCAGAGTTCTTGCCAGGTTTTCAGATGTTTTCAGTGTGTTTCTAAGGAAAGAGCGGCGTCCAGACTTGTCTGTGGAGCTATCTGACTAGAGGATCAGTATGGTACAGAGAGAGGGAGAGCAGCTGCCATCAACCTTTCTGAACATTGCATCTATCAGTGTTTGACTGTAGACATTGCACGCTGAGGTATACAGATATTTACAAATTCAGAATCCTTAAAATTGTGCTTCCCACAGACTGTATGCCTTGTGTTGTGTGTTGACAAAGTTTTAAGCATTACTTAAAACACACGTAGTCATCTTTAATGCATACTCTCCTTCTCCTCTCTCCTTCTCCCCTTAGTCTCATGCTCATCACACTCCCATCTGTCCGCACTTTCATCCATATCAGTGATATGTCAGTCTGATCTTAAAATGACTCCTTTGATTGTTGTTGTTGTTAGGTTTTTGTTGTGCAGACAGAAGTTATGCAATGACTGCAGTAGATATCCACCAAAGTTATTTCCCCTTTGTTCATGTTGAAACCGATTCCACCCAGGGCCATATTCTAGGATGCCGTCTATAATCTCTCTATAAACACTGCAAACAAATTCAGAATGGGTTTCAGTCACTGTGATTCCAAAGATAGCTCAAGTTTGTTTTCCCTGCAGCCATACAGTGATGATAAACAGAATTGGCTATCTCTTAGGACTATCCCATGCTACAAATATCAGAATTTTTTTTAATCAGATTTGGCTCACCTTACACGTAATCAAGTTTGGTACTATTGACTCAGTAATAGTCGTACTAGGAGCAATGGCACTGCATGGATTTCTTCAGCTGAAAGTCAGTGAGGCAGAGAAAAGGCAGAAAGTTGTCTGGGTGTTAACAGTGCGTGAATCACACTCCAGCATGTACATGTGGTCGAGGGGGGTGTGAGGCACAAGATGGGGAGGCCTGAGGAATTTCCAAGGTAGGAACATGTAAGCCCTGAGGCAACGTTTTTTTTTTTATCCCATTTGATTCCAAAAGCATACCTGTCTGTGCATATCAACAGAAGCGTCATTCCAAGAAACAAATGCTGAAGGCTATAACTTTGCTAATTTGCAAATAACCTGTAGGAAGTAATGGATTGTGTGTTTTTAATGTGGGCTTTTATCAGTTTGCAAAGGTAGCGGAGTCATTTTACACAAGCGTGTTATAAAATTGGAGCAAAGGTTATTTATCATAAAGGAAGGCTTATTAAATTATATCCGTTTCATGATTAATTCATCACATTTAAAGCAATTAGAGTTCTAATGTTGCTTTTTGCTTTATATTTGCATCCAGTATCCATGTAACCAGACCAGTCATTCTCTTCCTGCTTGTGTTCATCACGCCATTGCACCAAGCCCCCATTCTATTATTGTTAACTTTACACCATTTCTATTGAATTTACTTCAACACTCATAGCTTTATCAAGGAGGTGAAGAAAAGAAGGGAGATGGAGGAGGGAGGTTACAGTATTTATGTTGTGTCAAGGGAACTGCGACAGATGTACAGCAACTGATGATAACTCAGGAAGGCAGGGGTGATCTCCACCTGAGGCTAAAGTAAAGTAAAGCTTGCAGGAGAAACTTGGTGCATCATAGAGTACATTTTCAGAAATCATGTAAAGCTAACATAACCTAATGAGAATGCTTTGGGCGAATCCAATAAATTAAATGTCTGACACATCAAGGAAAGTAATCACAATGATGCAATAGTCCTGTAAGGCCAATAGAAGTAAAGTAGCCTTGAGCTGTTGTTCATTGATTTGCAACAGCCTGATGCAACTAAAGACCTTAAAGGAGAGCCGCCTCAGTGGAAATGGTATAGCCAAATCTTTCTTGCCTCACAGTACTGTATCTATCCTCATCCCCAACCCTACTCTAGAGGGTATATTGGGTTACAGAAATGATGGCACTGAAAGTGAGTCATTAGGGAGAAAGAGTATGCATAACACTGTCTGTGTCATCCATACTCACCCCATACAATGTGAGTAATGATCCCTGGCATTAGCGCTTCTGCACTATTAGCATTCTTCAGGCCTGAGAGGTCAGAGCTCACTGGGAGGGCTCAAATTAACAACCTAGTGCTGAGTGGTAGCACTCTTCAGAGTAGTCACAACATTGAACACCCCCCCCCCACACCCCCTCCCCCCACACACACACACACACACACACACACACACACAAACACAAACACACACACACACTCTACACTCTTTAGCCCACCAGCCAGACCCCTGGCATTCCACAGCTGTCCTCTCAAAATATGACTGTAGGCAGTGCCCTGGCATTAGCAGTGTGGTGCTTTCACCTTTATGGACCGACCTTCTTACAGATAGTCTTCCTGAAAATAGCCAGAAAGACGCCAAGCCAGTTTACGGTTGTCTGCATCAACATGTGAATTGAAATCAGTGTCACTGTCAGAGTACACAGTTCAATTTAGAATAGTGCAATAAATCTGAATTAGAAGACTGAATAAGCTGAATCATATTATGATGACATGATCTGAGCAAGCTGTAATTGAAAACCAACACATGCACACATTAAGAGTGCAGTTTAATACATAATTCCTACATCAGTTTGATGTCTTCACACGTGAATACATGTGTTTGAATACATGTTATTATGTTACATTGAAATAAAAATATTTCTTTAATCATATTGCCCAACCCTAGTCTATTATGTCTTAATTTCAGAGTAGACCGACTTTCCATAGTACCTTGACTAGAGAACGATAGTGTTGGATGTGGAAAAAAGTGTTTTTTTTTAATGGTACCAAAGGTCAAAGCACTGTTATTTGTTCTCCTTAATGCGCTTTACTTCCTTGAAATTGGTCATCCCTGTAAATCTGTTTAATGATCTGCTTGCTGTCTACCTGTGTGTATCCAGCTGTCCAGTCCAGTGAGGGGCGGGTGGGTGTCATGCGGAGTCTGAGTCGCCAAGGAAATGACATCACGGATCATCCAGGCTTCTGTAACTCGGGGTGGGGTGGGACAGAGGAGTACAGGGGCCAGCGGACGTACTCCCCCTGTGTGACACAGTCCCAGGTAAATACAGCGTGTGTGTATAGTGCTTGTATTGTAAATGGCTTTTTCCCCGCTTCATTTATCATTCGATTCTGTCTGGTTGGTTTCATTTACTCGTGTGTGTTATTGTTACAGCATCACATGTTGTACAGGAGTGACAGTGCTGACTACAGGGGCCAGGGCCCAGACATGGACAGTGGGGTCGAGGCTGGGAGTGACATGACTCCACCCACTCCTGCCTTCCCTATCTCTCCGCCGACACCTTATGGTAAGTACTATATGTTTCCGGTGTCATTGTAAATACCGGTAGGTTTACTTTTGTTGAGCATTTGTGACCAGCTTTGTTTGTTTAATTTGGTTTAATTAAATGCCCCCTCTCCTGTTTCCTTCTGTATTTTCAGTGAAAAACATATCAGAATTCAATCTCCTCAGGCAAACACCATCTCCTAGCATGCAGTCTTTTGGAGTCTACAGAACAGACCATGGTAGGTTCAAGTCTCTTCAAAAGGCAAACTCACGTGAAGCTGTTATGAAAATTCTTCAGTTTGAGAGAAGAAAGTGGTCTTCCTTTGTGAACTTTTAGCGTTTAAGAATAGACCCTGGAAAACAGAACAATGGTACAGAAAAAACAGTTCTCCGTATGATTTATGGTAAATATTTAAAATGCAGAAAGGTTATAAACACATGGATCAGTTGACTTTTTTCTAAGGTTATGGATTTGAGGCACCTTTATTATAGAAAGTTGACCATGTTTCACAACAAAAAGCCCCCAAAACATTTAGACAGTCTTCTTTGTTTTCCACTATACCTCTTTTAAATACATTAACCACATAAAGTAGTAGTAATAGTGAGTGACTAAAAGACATATGATGAGTGAGAGGTAATTGTAAGAATCTTGTTTCACGTCTGCCCTGTGACTGCCTGTTTGGATCCACTACCTCATTAGAACAGAGCTGTTTCAGGTCCCCCTTGCTTTACCTAATAATGGTGACATTGTTGTTGGTTGGAATTTTTGCAGTCTTGAGACAGAGCCTGAAAACAAAGAGGTCTCATAAATACAAAAGCAGGGAGATTCCTAACCAGTCTTTGCCCTTCGTGTTTGGTTTTTGGAGAATGTCTGCGTGGCTGCGGTCTGAAGAGAAAACTTTTTTAGATCTTACATTGTTGTTCTTTAGATTAGAACTGAGCTGTTTTTGTGTCTTTTTTTTGTATTGATGTTGTTTTTCCTGTGGTGTTTATCTGAGGTGGAATTCACCCTGGCTGTAAGATTCTCAGAGATGGAAAGAGATGAGCATTTATAGCGCTTTGTAGCATCAGCATCTCTGGACTTCATTGTAAATTCCAAAGTCATTTTATTGTCTACTCAATGTTGTTGTTTTTTGATCAGTGTTGTCACAGAGGCACAATATTGTACATGTTGGGAGCTGCCCACATACAGATGGACCATCTCTACTCTTAACGTGAACTTTCATTCTGCTTTGACCTCATATGGACTTATTTCCATCTACAGTATATCAAAAGGTTGTAGGGCAGATCTGTGCCGCTGCTGAGCCTCTAACTACCTCAGACGCTCAGGCAAGAATCACCACATTCAGTCCTGCCACATTTCCATGGTAACTGTGGGTCAGGAAGTACGGCACAAAAAAACTTTTCTTCCCCAGTGAAAGTGTCTCTGGGTACACAGAGGGGTTGTAGGGACAAGAAGAAACCAGCAACTCTTTCAGCTTTGCACCTTTTGCTTCTATAAAAGTTACCCAGAGAAAACCTGGCTGTAAAGCCTGAGTAGAAACATGAGGTTTTAGATGTCAGTGGCTATGATTGATTGACATGATTATCTAAAAGCCTAATGTTAGAGGGCTTTTAATTTCTAGCTGCAATGAAGTCTGATTTGTTGACTCTGTGGGTTGTGGCAGGGGTAATTGGTGATTGGTTTTATATAGATTGATGGCCGGTTCAAGGCCACATGGACAGTTTTCATTTAATTTAAATTCCAATATTGATTGTTTGTTACATGAAAGAATCCAGAGCTCCTTCCCAAGGGATTTTTTTCCATAATCCATGGCTGTTTTTTCTCGTATGATACAGTACCATGTGTTACAGCAAGTTATTTTAACTTTTTGGTTTTGTGCAGTTTTTCTCTCAGTGATTGTTGTAAAAATGTGTTTTAGATTCAGTGTCATTTGTTTTCATTTAATTCAGCATTTAAAAAAAACAGCTCCTGACCGCAATAAATGTGTGTGAATTTCGGTTTCTGATGTGTTTTCTTGGTCTCGCACAGAACCCCGGGGATATTCAGAGATGATCAGTCATGTTGGAGTTGACGGTTTACCAGACTCCTCCATCAACTGCCACAGGACGCTAAGTGCTACACACACGTCTTCTATTGTTGGGACCCTTCAGCGGACAGACAGGTACAGATCTGTGCTATCCAGAAACTTAAAGCAGCAATTTTTTAATGCTAGAAGGCAGAATTCCTAAAACAAACTTACGACTAAGGTTTTGATTTCCAGTGAGGTGGGATTAACAGCACATTTCTATATCAATTACAATGTGTCTTCTCCTTTAATGCTAACACCAGTGATATAAACAGTAAGTCAAATTCCATCAACCTGTTTTTATGTACGTTTTCAATTTGTGTTTAAAAACCACATTGAAAAGAAATTCCAAATAAAAGTAGACAGTTATTACACTTGGCTAAGGTGAAAAAGCTTGTGTATTGATAAAAAAACAAATGCAACTAAGTAAAACTATTTATCTAGCAAATAAATAATGACGTACACAAAGCATGTGATTTAAAGGTCACTCGTCACTGACTAGAAATGACAGCAGATGAAGACACTTCTGAGTTGAGCAAAGAGGAGACTGTAACCATCGTCAAATTATTACAAGAAATAATCATAAATGCAATATTTTCACCAGATTTGCATTTTCTTTTGCCGATTATCTGGAAATGCGTTTAAAATGTGTTCTACATTTGATTGGAAACTTGACTTAACTTTATTTAATGTACGTTTATGACCTTTTTCTCTGAACTTAAGTTCAACCATGAACCAGTCCTGGCCAGAGCATCCCGTCCTGAGCCGCCACTCCTCTCTGAGCACCTACCCCTCTCCCAGACACCCACTGCAGCACGCCATGTCACTGGACTACAGCCACCACTCTCCTCCCCTGCACCACCCCCACATCCACCCTGCCCCCAATGCACATAGCTCTCCTCGAAGCAGCCAGCGAAGCTGTTTGGCTCGCTATGCCCTCAGCCGCAGTCCCGCTCAATGCTTTGATGAGCAGGATGACTCTGGCCTCAGCTATGGCACAGACTGTCCAAACTCCACCTCTTCCCTGCTGAGAAATGGAGGCATGGACAGGGAACATTTGACCTCCATGGATGGGCAGAATCAGTCACAGCTGTCTCAGATGCACCCCCCACTTCTGCCTGAGAAGAAGAGGGCATCAGATGGGGAGCATTCGCTGGGAACAGCGTCTCCAGCTCACAGTGGGTTCTCGAGTCCCCACAGTGGGAGCACCCTGAGTATTCCCTTCCCTAATGTTTTGCCTGACCTCTCAGCTCAGATGCCGGGCACAGCCTCACCTCTGCCAGGTAAGCTGCAGTCCCCTGAAGGTTATTTCTCATAATCAATATTGTACTGATTATTTGACTGATATTTATGTGTTTTTTTCCAGATGTACTGACCAGTAAGCAGGATACAGTAAAATTTGTGCAGGACACCTCAAAATTCTGGTACAAACCAGATATCTCAAGGGATCACGGTAGGCTACCAGTGTCCACTTTTGTTCCAGGGTAATCAAAGAAAATCAACTTTTTTGCAGAACTATAGAGCTGCCTCACAATAACATACATTTCTGTTCATGCAGCCATTTCAGTCTTGAAGGACAAGGAGCCTGGCTGCTTCATCGTGCGGGACAGCCATTCCTTTAGAGGGGCCTATGGACTGGCAATGAAGGTGGCTACTCCCCCACCCTCAGTTCTCCAGCAGTCCAAGAAAGGTACGGTAGATGGGGACAAAAATGTCTGTGGTAGGGTATATTGAACTGTAGTCAGTCAGCATGATTAGCCTAACTCTGTCCAAAATGAAAAAAAAACATGCTTGCCAACATCTCTAATGCTGACTTATTAAAATTGTGTATTTTGTGTGTTTAACATTTACACAAATGTAAATGTAAAAGCATTAGTTTGTATTCTAAGGGTTACATGTAAGAGCTATTTCTTGTTTAACAAGAAATTGCTAGCTTGTTACTGTACATAACTTCCACAGTAACAACAGGTTTTTTGTATGGTTTAAACAAACAAATTACAACATGTTAATTAGTAAGCTTTATAAGTGTTGGTAGTTTTTTCAATCAATTTTGGACACAGCAAAGTTAGCTTCCCCCTCCTTCTAGACTTCATGCTAAGCTAGGCGAAAATCCTCCCGACTGCATCTCCAGAAATGAGATTGGTTTCAGCCTGCTCATTTTAGTACGGGAAAGAAAGCAAATAAGAGTATTTTCCCCAAAAGGTAAATTATTCTTTCAGTTATTATAGTGAGGATAACAGCGATTATTCTAGTTGTACAGAGATCCTGGGAATCATATGTCACACAATCACACAAAAAGCTATCTACAGTTACAGCCCACTGTACTCACCTTCTCATGCTGGAACATGAGAGTCCCTCCCTCTGTTTGTGTGTGAGAGCTACTCACTCTATGTTTCTCTCCTGGGCATCATCATGATGAAGCCAAACAGACCCCTTTTGCCTGACAGCCTTAGATGTACGGCTAATGTTTCACCTCTTAACAGAGGGTGTGCCGGGTCCATAAGCCTACTCTGATCCCAGAGCCTTCTCCTGGGAATCTTTCTGCCCCACATAACTCTGTCTGATATGGATGTAATATCCTGTGACAGGGGTCAAAAAAGGCTGCTGGTTTATTTACTTCTTAGTGTGTTTGTTTTGCATGTCCAGGAAATACGGAGGGAGGGATTTTTGGGAAAGAAAACAAAGTCTCTGGAAGAATCTGGCCAAACATTCTCTGGCCATGTTTCAACATGAAAACAAAGGCTGATTGAGTGATGATAGTGAATTACGCATCACTTTTTCTTATTCAAAAAAGGGCCAGAGGATATTAATTCCCACGCAATGTGTATTAAAACAAGTAGGACTATTTATAAGGTATATGTTTTTTGTCAAAACCAACATGAGGACTCAAAGAATGCCCTTATGCCCTTCTTGCACCAGCCCACCACAGCGTTCAACCCTTTCATTTTATCCCCCACTCACACCTGTCCTTTTGTTTGCCCTCACCCCTTCGCAATCCAACGGCACCTGTGGTGACATCATGACACGGTCCTTCTCCACACTTTCAGCTTAGGGCATTGAGGCTCCTCATAAGTGTGAAACCCAACCCACCTTAAGGAGCGGGCCTTTCTCCAAGCCTTTGTGTCAAGACATTCCTCACATAGACCCCTCCTGCCCCCTCAGTGGCGCTTCTGTTGAATCATAATCCCATTAATCTCTGGAGAGCTTGAATGTAGCGATTTAATGTTTTTATGTAACTCTTCAAGGCTGGGAAATTACGTGTTGTACTGAGATACATGCTTGGAGCTATTATGTGGGTCAGAGTAAAACAGAGGACAGTTTTGCTAAAACAGACACGTGGTGCGGTATTAATTATCTCTCTCATTTCTTTCTCTATCTTCTGTCATTTTTTCTAACAGGAGGCGATCTAGCCAATGAATTAGTACGCCATTTCCTGATTGAGTGTACACAGAAAGGAGTGCGGTTGAAGGGTTGCCCCAATGAGCCCTATTTTGGTGAGTACCTAACTCTGTTAAAACCTGTCCCTTCACAGCTGGTTTGCAACAGTGACATCTCCTGGCTGTTTAGCTACACTGCACAAAGTGCAAGACTCCAAGCACCATACTGCCCTCTATTGGTGTACGGAGCATTGTACCACTGGCTTGTGATGCCCTTTATCCAAAACCTTTAATTTCATGTCCAATGCTTTTATCAGTCCTTTTTTGACTGGAATTGTGTTTTTTTTTTTCCTGGCCCCTGAGTAGCTATCAGCAGCTATCTGTTGTTGTTGTTGTTGTTTTGGCTACTACATGGACAATCAATCAAATCAACTAGGCGGTCATTCCATTGAACGTTTTATTTTTGTCTTCTTTTTAGCAATATCTTTGCATTGTGTGTTCCTTTTTTTTTTTCTTTTTTTTTTAGATATACAGTAAATTATTAATTGTGTGGCAGTTTTTTTGCAACGTAAAATCTCACTGTGGTATGGATTTGACATCTTATTTTTTTGTAGGAAGCTTAACTGCACTGGTCTGCCAACATTCTATCACTCCTTTGGCCCTGCCCTGCAAACTCATCATACCAGACAGCGGTAAACGTTCAACACATTCACAGACCTACTTTTATAGAGGAAGATGATGGTCAGATAGAATAATAAACTATTATTTAGGTTTTGTGGCTACCCATATCTGCCAGTCTGTCTGTTTAGCTGTCTGGCCATTTTAGGTTTTTACTAAATAATCTCACTGACGTTATTGCTTTTCTTGTTCATAGATCCTCTTGAAGATGTTGTGGAGACTACATCACATTCAGTCACCAACTCTGCCGCTGAGCTGCTAAAACAGGGCGCAGGTAATCAGGCGTCTAAGATGCTTTGAATAGCCATTGTGACAAAGCAATGACGGCATGGTACACAAACAATACTTGTGTGCAATTCTGTGATACTTTTGGAAATGAGCGCATCCACACTTACCCACACATTATTCCTTGTCCTGTTATTATGGATGGTGGGGCTGAGTCACTGAATACACTTGCTCTACACTTACTTGCACTTAGCAGTTGTGATGTGAGTTTAATTTGAATCGTTGTGTTCCTGCAGCCTGCAATGTGTGGTACCTATGCTCTGTGGAGATGGAGTCGCTAACGGGCGTCCAGGCGGTGCAGAAAGCCACCAGTATGACTCTGAGTGCCGACCCTCCACCAACCTCCACTGTAGTCCACTTCAAAGTGTCCTCCCAGGGAATCACCCTCACAGACAACCAGAGGAAGTGAGTACCACACAGGCATATTTACACCACGGATACATGCACAGGCTTATTTCTCACAATAACCACCCCCTGTCTCCTTTTAGGCTCTTCTTCAGGAGGCATTACAATGTCAATACGGTCATATTTTGTGCATTGGACCCTCAAGATAGAAAGTGAGTATTACTGATTTATAGTTTGAACATATAATGTAAGTGCTTGTCATGTTAGGCAAACCTGTTATTTTTCCAACCAGGTATGGTGTGTCAAAATGTATCCTGGAAAATCTCATGGCCAATGGCAAATGACAAAAAACCCCAAAAACTTTACATTGTCACTGGTAATTTTAAATGTGCCAGTGGAAAGTAAGGTTCAGTGTATTTAACAAGCTCTACTAAGCCAATGACACTATTGTCCTCTTTTCACCTCTCACAGGTGGAATAATGATGGCTGCTCTTCAGCAAAGTAAGTAAATTATTATTATTTTCACATTGCTACAACCAGAGCAGCATTAAAGCAGTTATTTGTAAAGTGACATGGTCAGTTTGAGGCAGATGACAGCGCTGCTATTAAGTACTTTGCTCCACCTCTCCAGGATCTTTGGCTTTGTGGCGAGGAAAACTGGCACTTCTATGGACAATGTCTGCCACCTGTTTGCAGAGCATGACCCCGAGCAACCAGCAAGCGCCATTGTGAACTTTGTTTCCAAGGTGATGATTGGCTCGCAGAAGAGTAAGTAGGCCTGCAACGGACTGAGCTGATCTCCTGGATAGACTTTTACTCAGAGTAGAAACATGGGATAAAAACTGAAAGGCTGAAGAAAGGACAAAATGTCAGGACTGAAGACGGCAGTGACATTAAACGTGGATATTAACTGGATGTTCAATACGTAATGATCACTAACCAGCACCAGGACATTTAATGACATATTTTAATAGAAAAATATAACCCCCCTTCTGTTGTTCTTCTTTCCTATAAAAATTAACTATAAAGTAGCCAAGAAAGAAAACAACTAAATCATAAGAAATGTGTAATAATTATTTACTGGTTTACAGTTATAATGTCTTATACAGTTAGATATAGTCATGCTCAACATATTTTTAGTACATAACACACATAACATAAAGGCTGCTTTTCTTATTCGTGTGTAGCAGTAATATGGAAAAATCAAGAAAAACTTGTGTTGTTGCATGTCATGTTTTTGTCTCTAATATTTAACCACAACAAACATAATTCAAGATATTAACATTCTAAAGTTGTAGCCGATGTAGAAGCACCTCTGATCTCCATCTGTCCAGCGTGCAGTATTTTCAAGTGGCATTTAAAATGTGGTGAAGCAGTGAGCAAATATGTATAATTTGAACTTTGGGAATAGGCTGTCGCATACAGGATGATCTTATTTTATCTATGCAATGTCAAATTTTATTTTTTTAAACCATGACCTTCTGTACATGTGCAGCATGTATGTGGCTTCTTTGAACTTGTTAAATAATTTTCTTCTTAAGATATATGATTGTGCGTGTGTGTTGAAAAGAGAGAACCCATAGAAAATATTTTAATTAAACCCTAATATATTGACTTGACTCGAGTTGGTTAAAGACACATCAGTACTTTGCGTAGTGGCACACCACTCAGCTGCCAAAATTGTACTTTATTTTGAACTCTTTGGGAGCTAAATAACAGCACTGCAGTGTTTCAGTATCAAAAATGCATCACTGTCCTTCATTTTGTACATTTAATTTGAATAAAAAAAAAAGACATAGGCTGCTATATAGAGAGAACAAATATTGTATTATGCTTTAGTCTTGTACAAGTTCTTCAAAGAAAGAAAACGCTCAGTGTTGGAATTGCAAAAATAAATTTAGGATTTGATATACTCCTTTAGTTGTCAGTGACATGTTCACTAAACTTGCTGTGGCCATTTAATCCAGAGAGGGACCTACCACCACAATGCAGCTGTGTTTTTATTATGTATTACCTGTTGTCATCATTTTAATGACCTAATCTGTACCTCATACTTATCTCATACAATATGTGCTTCTGTGTATAACATGTTACATGTGAACAGTTAATTTGTATATTGATATTGCATTGTTTGATGCGTTCTGTAAATAAACAAAATGAAACATTTGTTTAATCATGGTGACCTGTTAACCCCTGACATGGACAGGAACAGTTGCCAAACAATGTCAGTTCCCGGCAAAGGCGATTTCTCAGTGATTTACACTACACGGTTTTTGTATGACTTAAACAAACAAGGTAAAACGTGTTATATTAACATTGGTAACTGGATGTTGTTATCCCCTGTGTCCCCATATCCAGGCTTTGTGCTAAGCTATCTTAGCCAACTTCTGGCAGTAGAAGCCTCATAGTTAGCAAATAGACGCGAGGGTGGTCAACATTATTATCTAACGTTACTCACGGCTAGAAAGCAACTAAGCACATTTCCAAAAATGTTGAACTTTTCTATTAACATACAGTTTTCTATTTTTGTGACAGCGTCACATAACGGTATGTCTATATTCTGTATCGGTTTGTTCTAGCTTTGTATTGAAGCACTCTGATATTTACACTGAGTGAAATATTCAAAGCCAAGACTGCATGTTTTGCATGACTGCACCTTTCCGTCTTACAGACATAGTCTACATGTCTTGTGAATCATTTTATAGCTTACATTTTCTTAAAATTCAGAATCTTATTTGGTAACGTCATAGACTTTGGGTCTCCACTAGAATTTTCTGTGGATTTGGATAATGCTTGGCTGAACAACATGCGTTTGTAATAACTGACCCACTGACAGGCTGGCTGCTATGTAAGGGGTAAGGCACACTGCTGAACCAAAGACCATGCACAGGTCTTGGCTGATCTTATCTTCCAATAGTAGCTAATCTCACAATACAAAGGAGGATTTGAAAAGTAAGCAGATCATGACTCTATAGCCCAGGGGTCAGGAATGAGGAAAATCTGCTGGTAAAATAAACTATCTGTAGAGAAAATAATACAGTTCAATTTGCTGCCAGCAGAGGACACCAGCAACACAACACTTTTGAACCTGCACAAGCGGAGTAGTTTTGTGACGTGGCTTATTTATCCAGTCAAAATTAACATTCTTAGCTGTAGCCCAAAGGTGAAATAGTAATGGCAACCACCACTAGCCTACCACATCTTTTAAGGAGGCCTACATACAAGTATCGTGCATCTGTGCCTTTCTTTCTCAGTACATGTGCACAGATCCAACACCATGTCCACTCTCACATTTATGAAGTGCAGTAAAAGAGGGTTTTACCTCCACACAAGCCTGGACTGGTTACCCTAATGGTGCTGAGACGGAATAAAATTGCAGAGCTTAACCAAAGAGGGAGGAAGGTGTAATGGGGTGGACCGTCCCTCCTACCCACTTACTACTGTCCCTCTGCAGGTGGTGAAAGTGAAGAATTCCCGGGGAGGGCAGGAAGGAAGCGAAGGCCCAGGTGTGGCGACTGCAGAGAGCCCAGAGCCCATCTTCCTCTGTTATTTAGTGCGGAGTGGCCTCGAAATAAAAGAAGCCGGGGAAAGTCCAGAAAACCAAGCAACATTATTAGACTGCAGAGGAATCTGTCAGGGTAGACAATATTTCACTCCGGTAATAACAGTGTGTGAGCATGAGATGTAGGCCGAACTCGAAACTGCAATGATTCCCATCAAACTTGATTTATATGTCTTATTATTTACTATTACCAAGCTGATTAATGCGATAGGAGAATCTACTTTAAAAAAACAAAACAGAAATTGCCCCAGAGTTAGGCTTGTTTTCCTACCATGAACATTCACATGGCGACAGTTGATGAGGTGCTGTAATATAATCACTGCTATTGTGTTGACATTCCTGATCTGAGCAAGGACCCGTAACAGACACTGATTGAGGCTGTCACATACAGTATACCTGCCTCAACAAATACCAGCTTTCTAATAAACTTCACAGATTTCCACAAGTCTCTCCTAGCGGCCTGAAGCCAATCAAGTTTCACTTTGCAGATAATGTGGAAGTGAAAGGCCCTGTTTTTCAGGCTGACAGAGCCCATTCTCATTCCTCCAGCACCCCAGCTCTGCAGCATTTTTACGACCACTTAATTAGAGGGGCAGGGCTCATCTCTTTCCTCTGAGGCAGAATAAAGGTTGGGGAGCAAAAATAGAAAGTGCATTCTGGGATGGCCGCACAATTTGAGGCCCCTGTTTGGTATTTGGCAGACGCCAAAACCTCAAAACGCACTGAGATTAATTGTGAGGCTTCGGGTCAGGTCAAGACAATGGCCAACACCATCACCATTAGTTATTTTCATCATTTCAGAATGTGTGTCAAGTGTCAAAGCTGCATATTTCTGTTCCATACCCAGAGAGAATGTGACAGTTTGGGATGTATTGTTGTCATGACCACACTAAAAAGTGAGTTACAGAGCTCACGGGTACGCCGTGACTGTGGCTGTGGAGGGGTCTCAATAGGCCATGGTCATAGTTACTGATCTTGAAACAACAAGCAATGAGGTCAAGTGTGTTTACATCACAGTTTAAGCAAAGGTGTTGGTCTCTGGCCAAGAGCAGAGGCCCCTGACTTTGTTTGAGCGATGTGCCCCCCTGTGCCCCATCAGATGAGCTCAAGAACCAACCAAAATGCTCCAAAAAAGTTCATTTTAAAAGATTTTAAATGGGAAGTGTTTTAAAAGTGGATACTGACACAATCGTCTTTATTCAATCCATGACATAGGACCTTTGTTTTAAATCAAGTATCTTTCAAGTTTGCAAGTGTATTGTGTGTGTGGGTGGGTGTCGGGGAGTTGGAGCGTACTAAAAATTAAATGTCTCGCCAATTTTATTGTAACTTCTGAATAGTTTCCTGTTGGCCATACAGTGTACCTTATATCTCTCATTTACCTAAATGTTTCTTCTGCAATGGCTTTTCACAATTCTCTGTCACATAGACCAACAAAATAAACTAAACCAAACATAAACTAAGCACAAAAGACAACAGACAGGAATAATGTAAAATATAAATAACAGGAAAAACTATACAACTTTTTTCACTTGCGTACTTGTACTATAGAAAGTAAATTAGATTAGCTGGGTGAACCTGCCAGACTCACTGACTGTGCATGATAACTCTGTCTTTTCTCTTCATTTTCTACATCAAACCACATCTTGCAACCACAGACCACCATCACTTATAAAATAAATGGAGCATTGTAGTGCCTGCATCTGCAAGGGATATTCCCTCCTCCACCAAACCATAATTTTGTCCTTGTTCACGAGTAACGGCTTGTTGGTGTCCGTGAGAAAAAGATACATGACTGTGCAAGAATATGACATTCACAATAACATGTGAGTTAATGTACGATACATGTTCACCTAATGTGTCCTTATGAGACAGAGAAATACAGACATAGGAAGTGATACTGTCTAGGGGGTGGGGGTGGGTGTTGGGGTTGGAGCCCAATGTGAGCGGCGCCACTCTCAGCCCACTTCCAAGCACTCAGCAATCCGTCAGGCTGAGTGCTGAGTGTTCCTCTCTCTCCATCCTCCACTTTGCTCAGACCTAATTACAGCCTTGGACTGCCTCAGGGGCCAAGCCTCCAGAAATGGGGACCATGACAGCTTCATGAACAGACCACTCCAAAAAAAATAAATAAATAACCAACCTTGGAATAAGATGAAAGGTGGCCTTTGCCCCTTTGGCTCTTTATTTTGTCCACTATTCAGACCACATCTAATAATCGGATAATTGTTGAAGCTCTGTATGGGTGCCAGCCGGAGCAGAATCAAAGGGAAAAGATCGTATTAATCATAATGGAGACCTTTGCATCCAGTTCATCTGTAATGAGTTTCTGCTTGAAAAGCCCTAAGACGGGGACACTTAAATGAGAAGCGGTCATAAGACTGTGGGGGGAAAAAAGAATAACAATGACCGTACCAGACTTGTCATGTGATCTGTGGCAGCCTCATTCCTAAACAGGCCCGCCCCTCCCCTCTTACTCCAACACACCTACATACAATATGTACCCACACACTCTCTCTCCACACACACACAGACACACCGGACGCCCACTGCCCTCTCAAATTCCAGCTAAGAATGGGGAAAGAGTTGGTCTGTGTTTGAGACTTAGGGGCATGCACACACATCCTTCTCGTGGATTAACCCAGACATGTTCTGCAGACCTCCAGCTGATAAAACTATGTGCTTTTCATTCTGTGAGCTTTGGCCCTTGATACAGATTCTTGTGCTTTTCCCCATCACTACAGTAACACCATCACCTCTGTCTTTGCACTGAACACAGACAAAATCACACTAACAGAGTCAGAAATGGGGAAGCTCCCAAAAAGAAACATTATTACATATGACACATCAAAATAATACAAAATATCAAAATCAAAATAATAACACTTTCAATAATAGTCCCTGAAGGACTTTTTATGTAAAAAAACCCGGAAATCTCCATGACAAGAAAATGTTCCACCAGCGCTGTGAACATAACATAACATCTTTTTTCATAATTTGGACAGACTGATGTTTAATAATTGAGCTTTCCGCATTGTAATGGTTTGTCTGGCGATAGAAATGTGATAGTTAAAGCAGCATTATTTAAAAAAGTGGCTCACAGCTATGCAAAGCAGCAGCCTATGGCTTTTAGAAGAAACTGAGAATATGTGTGACACCCAGGAGGCAGGCATAAAATTTAGCCAAGGGCTTCAGTTCAGTAAGCTGCAGCACAACTGCTGGAGCCAATGCAGACCACTCTCGGAGCTTCAAGCAAGTGTATTTCTGATTTGCCCAAATCATCTTAAAACTGTGGAAAGTTGCTCTGAATTAGCCTTTGCAAGCAAGTTTCGTTAAACTCATGTACAGTAATATCCTGTGTGTGCAAAAGCAAATTCTTCACACTCCATCTTTATTGAGTGGCTGCTCTGCGGGATGACATTCCTTAAGTACATGGCTCCCTGTGCCCAATGCTCTCCTCTGCTATGCTGAATATGCACAGGTGGCCGAGAGACTCGCTTCCAAAGAGGGAGGAAAATCAGCAGGCTTTTTTTCAGCTTATGAAACAAATGTTTGGCATTCCACTGAGCACTGCTCTGCTGTAGACCTGTCTGTTAGCAGGCGGCAGTGCG